GACACCCCACACCCACCACACCCCCCCCACCCTGCACCTTTAGGTTTGTTCATCCTGTCCCTGCCAGCTAGACCTGCCCTTCCTCTATTAACTTGTGAATTCCCGAATCTAGTTTGTTGAATTCCTGTCTGTTAATCAGCGAATTCTTGTGCCCCATCTTTGAATCCCTGTCATGGCAGTGGATATGCTAACTGTGCCTAACATAAGCTAACTCAGCCTGCAGGCCTAACTAGGGATGTTTACGCAAAATTAGTCTAAACTAACTTTAGTCTACATATGCTAATTACGCTAATTCAGTTTATACTAACTCAACCTAACATATGCTAATTGGGCCTAACACAGGCTGGTGGGGTGAGTCTCAGAAAGTAATTCCCAATTGCTGCCGCCTTAGGGGTCTGCATTCTTTTAGGATTATTAGCTGGTTTTATTGTAAAAGTTACTGTAAGGCTGGGGGTGTTAATTTATCCTTACGGGGTGCCATAGCAGAGAGATTGAAAGTAAAAACAGCACAAACCAGTACAACAAACACAGTTGAAAGCTTGAGCTCACAGCTGTGGTCTTGCCTGCAGCTCTCCTCACCCAAGCCTTGCTTAGACCTGAGAGGCAGCTCTTTAGTATCTGCCTGTGTTGGCTGCATGGCTTCCGCCAGGCAGGAGTGTGGTGGGCCCTCAGTACCTTATGTCGAGAAGAGGGGTCGGCAGGAGCGTGGTGGACCCTCGCACTTCATGTTGGGTGGAGGGGTCAGTAGAGTTCTTGCAGAGCAGTTGATGTCAGTGCTGTATGAAGCCCAAAGTATGGGGGACAGCGAGTGTCAGGTTGGAGGTGCAGGTTGTGAAGGATTGGCGATTGACCTGGTACAGTAACCTCCCGGCATCAGGAGCCGGGGAGGGAGGACTCTCAGGTGGAGGATGACTTGTCACAGAGGCCAGCGGGCTCACATGGAGGCTGGCACCCCGCACACCTGCTGCTTTCCTCCGCGGGCAGCTGGTCCTCACCGTCTGTCCACCTGGGTGCCCTCAGCTCCTGCTTCAGGCACTGTTGTGTGCACCTGGCCATCTGCGTTGGGGTCGCGGTGGGCTTGCAGCCTGGGAAGACTGCACTATCTTGTTTTTCAGCCAAGAACTACATAGCGCTGGATGACTTCGTGGAGGTCACCAAGAAGTACGCCAAGGGCATCATCCCCACCAACCTGTTCCTGCAGGACGATGACGACGATGAGCTGGCAGGGAAGAGCCCCGAGGACCTGCCGCTGCGCCCGAAGGCG